CAATCAACCTATAGATGATTTTTGAGAGCTTCCTGAACTAGCCATAACCTTTCTTGGTGGCATTCCTTCTTGTAGAGTGTGATATATAGAACCCAAAACATTACATCATGCACAATGGATAGCCAAAGCATTATTTGCCCTCAATATCTGGATGTTTATGGGAATGTTTAAGCTCGCTGGCAATGAGGAAAGAAGACTCCATGACATCTGCATCTTTGTTGTTTGAATCTATCTTAGGTCATGGTACATGCTCTTGATGCCAGTTCTGTTTTTTGCAATGATCTTAACTTCCTACTGTCTTGTAAGTATAAGAAGGTGAATTCTGCTCTTTCAGAATCTGCCTGTATACAATTTACTGGATGTCTATGGTATCTCAATGAGGAACTCATTGGTTTGGCATTCTTTGATTCAGCTGTATTTACGAACACAAAATGAGCTGAATATCGGGAATTGTGGGGACTTGTCAGCTGAAGATAACCACAAAGGACACAAGTGCCTCAAAATTCCACCTAGATTTCTGTATTATGACCCTGTGTCATGGAAACTCGGAGAAATATAGGGAGCAACTATACACAGTTCAACACTTGAATGTGGTAAATGACAATATTGAAAGGAGTGTGGCCCTTATTCAGGAGCATAATGCCATCATAACAAACATTTTTCTAACAGCATAAAGGAAACAATAACAATGCAAAAGTGACTAACCATACCAAAATCATATAATTATGTAATTATACTACCATGCAAGCAATAAAATTATAATGTAATTTATAATACGTATTGAGTGTCTTTATATCAGATAGTACATAAGGTACCAGGCTACTGCAGTATAGAACTTCAAACTCATTGAGGAACTTCTAAATATGGTTCAAGATGGATGAAGTTGACATTTAATGTTTTTTTTTGTACATTGGAACAAAATCAGGGCATGAGAGCTTTAAAATGTTTATCCTGAAATTTTACTTGCAAATAAGAACCACGCTAATACACAATAGTTTAGAAACTTGTAATTTTAAATAATTTCTAATGCATTTTTCCTCACTCAGTTGATGATATTATTATTATTCTGAGGTTTTGATGAAAAATTACTTACATGTGTTTTTAGATTGAAAAGGAGTTATTTTTACATAGTTAATACCTTAAATTTTACTCATAAAAATTGATTTTGAATACTCAAATCACTTGATAGTTTTTTTATTAAATGTAGGAAATGCATATTTTTAGAAACTGCACCACTGAAACTTGTCTTAAGAATTTTTTTCTTTTACACGCAAACAAGCAGAAAGTAAAATTTAATAGTTGAGATTTTGTATTTAAGTGGACGACAGGATTTTGATTTATTCTGTAACTACTGACTAACATTTTTTGGCACATTAGTTTATCAAAATGACCTTGAACACCAGGTGAAAAAAAGTAATGTTTTATACTTCTTTGAAGATCATGGTTAGCAAATTTATCATTTGGAAAAATGGATTCGTAATGGACACCTCCTCATAGGTTTCTTTGTTTGAGATGTTTCTTGCAGATCTTCTCAAGGAGTATTGCGAGTGGCTGCCTGAGTCTCTACATATCAAAGTCTCTGAAGCATGGCCACCATTAAAACCAGCAGAATAACAGAGACTAAAAATGTATATATGATATGTAAATAATGAATTATGATATGTACATTTCATGTAACCCAGTAACTTCTTTACTGAAGAGTTGGGTTTAATATGTATAAAATATATATTCATGTTATGGGTCAACTCATTTTTAATATGCTGACTCTTGTAGATGATAAAGAATCTACACAATTGTGAAAAAATGTTTCATTACTGATCGTACTGGCTGAAAATACTGTATTGAAAGCTATAGCATGGAAACTATAACAAGTACAAAGTGGTTACAAGGTCAGTCAAATTGACCGACCCGTGTTAAGAGTTCATATGTACTTCTCACTTTGAGTCCATTTTTACCTCATTGGTTATATAACCCTTGAAAACTAAATTTGGAACTTGAAACCAGAATATCAATCGAACCCTAGAATTGATGAGGAGAGACATGTAGACTCCATTGGTTCTGCAAAGAAAGTCTTATAAAATTATTCATGCATCAAGTTGTTTGTAGGTTATAGGGTTTTTAGTAAAGAATGAGTCACACAAAACAAGTATCAAAAACACTGTCAATATTGTAATTAAACACACTAATCTCTAGTGTATTTTACATACAAGTAATTTCACCTGATTCATTTGGTCAGCTCTTTACACAGTTTTGTAACTGGAAAACACAAACAATGAACAGTATAAAAACAAGTCTCTTATTCAAGGAACTTTGGGGGTGTTAGTGAGTTATAGATTGTCATGTCCTTTTCTTTCTGATTTTACAACTTTTCATTATACTTTTATTTGTCTACTGGCTGAAGAATCAAATATATTATTGTTAGGGTAGAGGTAATAACAGATAAAATATTATGTTTATATTTACTTAGGAGGTATTTGAGTTTACACAAGTGAAATTTGAGATTTTTGAGACAAAGAAAACTATGTTTTAATCTTAACTTAAAATTCACTTTGCACTTGGACTAGTAAAAACTTCACGCAGCTGTGCCCATTTTTCTTTATTATTGGTTACAAAGTTTCAAAGTATTTCTCTTGAGAATTTGAACTGTTAATTTTACTGTCAACGACTGAAGTAGAAATCTGCTGAAAATAAAGCAACAATTCACCACTTATATCATTAGACTGTTTACATGACAGTGTAATATAATACTCTTGAGAACAACAAAGCACACGCACAGAAATAAGCCAACTTGACCCCTGCTCCAAGAACATAATGAGGAATTTATCTACTTATGTATCCTACAGTGTTTACAACGAGAATTCTCCAGTTATGATTGTACTTTGAATCTGTGAAAATGTTGATTATATGGTTCGGAGCCGATCTAATAAACATTGCAAGTGTTTGAGTATTGGTCATCCTTCTGGGATATTTGGAATTGAACAGTGTACCATATAGGCCTACAAAGATATTATTTGTGTTCATGGTTATAAAATCCTATTTCCCTTTCAACAGACTTATTCATCAACTACTAAATACTTTTTCTACACAAATGCTCAAATTTTAGTTATTTTTATTAAAACATAGAAGAATGAAAAAAAAAAACTTTGAAAAACAAAGATTTCTAGTACTTACAGTGTTATGAGATTTTGTGCTCGTGCGTCATACACGTTAAGCCTCGTTTATTATTCCGAGTGAAGAAATATTAATTTTTGTAGGCTTCAAATATACATTTCAGAAAACAAAATAATTATCAACTTACTATATTAGTACACACAAAATCCCTGTAATTTATCTGGGTTTCTAATCAAGCTGTATAAGAATTTTAAAAAATCTCATCTGTTCAGAGCAACAACTTAGTCATCACTCTTCAACAGTTTCAGCTTGTCTATATCTCAAATTCGAGTCTCTAACTCTTTAATCACTGTACACATTGTATGGTAGACATAATAAAATATAAACTGAGCAATAAGACAATAGGAGGTATTATGTGAAACATAAACTGTTATTTAGCATTTTTTCTTTATATTTCCTTTTCAATTAAGACATGTATAATATTAAAATTTTAATTAAAAACTGTGTTTGATGTTAATTCCATTGACATAAGTACTAGTAAAGTTATTTAACAAAATTTTGAAATTAACAAGTCAAGACGTGCTCTTTAACCTGCCTGCTGCAAAAGGGTTAATAACTACACAAAATATTTATTTTAGTCAATTTTTAATATCTGTTCTACAATATATTTGTGTTTAGAGCAAACCTTTCTAATTTACAAATGATGAGTTAATAAAAACTAAAGAAAGAGCAAATAAATTATGGTGCAAAATAGGCTTAGATATTGTGATGAAATGTTACACGTAACTGCAAGTGTTTCATTACATACTATAGACCTAAAGACAAACATGATTAGGGACTAGATTACAAACTATTAAACAAAATTTAATCCAAAAACAATAAAAAAAAATTTTTTTTCAACTTCAAACTCAATACCTTATTAAGTGAATGCAATCCTCTGAGATGCAGAAACGTAACAAAATACGAGACAAAAATCAATTATAGTACTATTTAATATATTTAACACTCAAATAACATATGAAGCTTCTTTTGTTCTTAAAAGCAAAACAAGTTTACATACATTTATATAAAAATAAACAAATACAAGTATATATATATTAACTTGAAACTCACATTTAGGATCAGAACACCATATCTTCTTAAGAGCTTCACGTGAGTCAGCCCTTTTACCAATAAGTGCCTGAAGAAAACTTTCAGTTCGAGGCTGTAGCCTAAATCAGATGGGAACATCTAGTTATTAAATGTACATTCATTACTAGGACTAAAAAGAATGGAGAAAAACATTCTTCCTATGTACACAACAAGCAATTTGGTCATTTAGTTGTACTGCATATAAAAATTTCTGAAATAATTTGAACTCTGCCAAATCTGTCACTAGGGATTGAGGATAATTTTTGAACTGAATTAATTCTTTGAAGTGAAACTATAACAATATAATTTGTTTGCTTTCACAAGGATTTATATGGAAAAAAATAACATGAATATAATGTAACAAAGTAAAATTGTGATAACAGAATTACAGGCTGATAATTTAAGAAAGAATAATAAAACAGACTAATAACTAATAAGGCAAATTTCAAAATAGTAATCAAAAACCATCAACTGATACACGATATGTACAAAACATTTAATACATGGAGAAAAGTAATAAATGGAGATACATAGGCTCTGTATAAAAATTATAGACAAGGATAAAACACACTCAAGAATTGTTTATTGTTAAACAGATTAAGGCCATAGCTACATCAGCACAGTGCAGCTGTGAGTCATTGTTAAAGAAGTAAGGTACCAAAGTAAACCCTAAAGAAATAGAACTTAAGCATATCTTAAATTCCAGTTTGACTAATGAATAAAATCCTTACTTTGCCCATGATTTTATCATTGTGACTGGAGGTGATAGCAGGACATTTACATTGGCTCTGAAGGCTTTCACCACATACCCTTCTAGCAGGAAACGTGCAAACCATCGATATTTTTCAATGCCTGCAGGAAATTCTAGTTGTACAGGAGGAACAGGCCAAGCATACCTCCCTGGAAGTATGAAGAGTGTAAAAGAGCAAAATGAAAAATATTACAATAAATCCATTCCAACAAAAATATTCCTTCTTATATGAATGTTATTTTTATTAAAGTTTAAGGTAATAACTTCATGACACTACAATGACCACATACAATATGTAGAAATAATGTATTAACTATAACTTCTGAGCTGATGAATGTTTAATATTACCACAGAAGCAAACTTGTTTAGAAACCTAAACACACTGCTATTTGAACAAATATTCAGTTAATGGATGTTTTTTACCATAGATTTTCTTTGAAGAAGTCATTTCATTTAATAAATTAGTGTTATTATGCAAAAGTTTTCTGACAAACTAAAACTGTTCCTTTACTTACCAAATGAAGAAGACATGTGACATAGCACTTGGTCTGTTTTTACATCGTAGCGTGGTGCTGGCTCATCAAGTGGTTTGGAGAAAGTACACAGGTGGGGTGCGAATACTGGAAACCATTCTGGCTCAACAGCTGCAACAACTGAAAGCAAAGCAAAATTAAACTTGTTACAACAAAATAACTAACACAGCAAACATGAAATTAAACAAAATGATATACAAACCATGGAAAACCAAATTTAAAAATTATTTTGTGAATATATATATATATATATATATACTTATATCATGGGAGCCAAAATATTATTTGGCAGCTTCTAACTGTTTCATTAAACTTTTACAATCTAGTCCCAATCAAGTGTTTGAACGAACCTCTCATAAAGAGCTTGTTTGTTTCGAAAAATTTCCTGATAGACAACATACTCAGGGGCCTCCTTATGTAACACTGATGAATGGTGGATGAAGACTGGTGTTTCAACTTCAATACTCTTAAAAAAACAATACTAATCAACCAAGTTGTAAATATCATAACTTGAAAATCAAGAAGTTCTAATGTAATTGATTCTTATAATATGTTAAATGCAATCTTTCAGTTTTTTAAAATACATTAAACAATATTATCATTTTTTTTCATAACTATAGTAACAGACTCATGAGCAAGAAGGCTAAGTACAATAATAAACCTTATAAAGCAATAGATAACGCCACTAGTAAATAAACAAACAATTTATAAGCATAATAAGTCATTTTATTTTGGGAAACATATTACTTGTTCTGACAGAAGATTGGTCTGTCTTCTGTTATCTTCCTGGGGTGATTGGATTTTAGCAGTATAGCAGTACAAAGTGTTTATGAATATGTATATATATATATTATTAGTATTTACTCATAAATGCTTAATTTTTAGTTATTTTTCTAAAAATATAGAAAAATAAATAAAATGCATATAGAAAAACATTGATTTCTAATACTTACAATGTTATGAAATTGACTTGTACTCATGCATCATACTTGCTAAGCCTCATTTATTCTTTCAAGTGGAGAGAGAAAGTCTAATTTTTGGTAATTTCAAAAAATTATAAAATTATTATACTGGTACACATAAAACCATTGTAATTTATCTGGCTTTCTATCTAAGCTATATACGGGTTAAAAAAATCTCATTTCTGTTCAGAGCAACAACTTCATCAACAAACTTCAAAATTCCCAATCAAATTAAAAATCTGCCCTTCAAGCCAATTAGAAATGACTATTAGATTTACATACTTTGGAATGTTCTCTTTCCATTGGTTATAAAAATGTACTTAAGAAATGTAGACAATAGGTTAAAAAAAAAAAATGATTATTGGCCAGAGATACTCTGGTAGGTTTGCAAAATATATTGATATCTCATCAAATCAAAAAGGTGAGAGATTCTTATTTTATATTCTAACTTGCAAATGTTTGAAATTTGAATTTCTATTTGTTATCCACATTGTATGGTAGGTGTAATAAAATATAAAGTAAGCAATAAGACAATTAGACATGCCATGTGCATATGAAAAAGCATATTTTGCATTTTTTAATATTGTCTTTTGAATTAAGAAATTAAAACATATATAATATTTAAATTATAATTATAAACTACATTTTGATGCAAGTTTTATTGACACCCAATGATAATAAAGTTGTTTAATTAAATTTTGAAAACAACCCTCTAAAATGTCGTGACATGTGCTCTTTGACCTGTCCATAATGTGAGGGTTAATAGTATTTACCATATCTGCAAATAAGTAATAGTAAAAGAAGTAATTATGATTTTAACAATTATGTAATTAGAAGGTTTCCAAATTCTGGTTTAAATGATCATTCAGCCAATACGACATTGTAAGCATGGTATAAAAAAATTAAAAGCATTTTCAATCTTGTTAGCAATTAAACTATTCTTTTCCTGAAGTACCAAAGTTTAAGGTGTTTTTGCGGAACCTAGTTTTAGGTAAAACCTACTTAATGACTCATATTCATCATTGCTATTCTTATGTTTATTTAATTCTTGCCAAAAAAAACAAATTACTGGCATAAATTACTACACACATAGTACACATCAAAATACCAAACGTAACATGAATATAAAATATTGAAATCAGTATTAGATCTTATGATCAATTATTTCCTGGTTGTGTCAACTTTTCTAAGTTATAAGTAGTTATAGTTTAGGTATTTCTTTATAAAAACAATATGAAAATGTACAAGTTGGCAAACTGCAAACTATCCAGTGTTATAATTACAAATATTTTCAGATGGTTTCACAGTTACTTTGTTGCAGCAAATTTCAGTTGCTAATTGTTCAAATATTTTATCTGTCCAAATGAAATCAGAAACACCGTAAAAGGGAAACATACTTTTACTTTCAATGTGAAAAGTTAACATTTTCTTAAATCGAAAATGTATTTCCAATAATACTTATCTCCACTCAGCTATTATGCAACTACCAGGGATTCTTCCTTTGCCCATCTAAGCATTGGTCTGATTTATTCTCACTTGCTCCAGTCTTTTATACCCCACTTAACTGCCCTTGGCGATATTTGTCTTTTGACACTCTCTACCTATCCTAGTACTGTATATAAGCACCTCAATTCAGATAATGTTATCACTTTTTAGAGACTGACTCATTCTGCAGTCTCTAACACCGGCTCTTAGTGGGGAGAGAGAGTATGAGGGGATGTAAGTATTATTGGAAATACATTTTCGATTTAAGAAAATGTTAACTTCCAAACATACCTCTTCTCATACTACAGCTAGAATCCCACATTAATAAGGTGGAGGGGCCGATGAGGGCATTATCCATGCAGAAAGCATTTGCATAGATCATGGGTGTATCAATAGAAGATTGGCACCCTAGTGGTGGAACTGCACTACATCCAGAAAAGGTATGCTCTTTACCTGGAACTTCATTCATGTATTGTGGGTGGAATTTAATGTGATTTATCATCACTACTGGCCAGGACCCAACTAGATAGCCAAGGTTCCACTGCTCAGAGTTGGAATTATAGAGCCATTGTCCCTATATCCCACATTGGTATATTGGACAATTGAACTGCATATATACATACACACACACTTATGAGTGGATCTCAACCTGTAGCTATAAAGTGATGCATTACGAGTTATTGGAATCACAACGAGAAGTCCAAAAGGCAACACCATTGGCTCAGAATAACGGGATCTTGTATGCCTTACTTAACCTTAGGAAACAGAACACCTCTGGTCTGGAATTATGAACATTCATTCTCACTCCTCAACCAAAACTCCAATTGCCCCCGGAATTATGGGAAGGACATGGAACAAACTGTGCTCAACCAAGGACCCATGATGAGACCACACTGCTTTCGGAATTATGAGGATATAATTGGACCCTCTTCCATGAACAATGTACTGAACCAATATTGATCCAAAAGAAAGGCCACACTCAACCCAACCAGATAACCAAGCATCAAATCTGAACCGGTATTATGAATAGGCTTCCACATAGGCTTGTGCTTCTCCTACCCACATCTGGGAAAAAACATCCAGGGATGCAGGTGGGAGGGCTTCCAACTGCAGCCTCTTTTCCAAGAATGGAGGAATAGCCTCTGTCCACCATTCCAGTGACTGGAAACTGGGTGTGGTTAGGACTCCCTAGCTCCACTAGTAGAATCTGGGGGAGTAATGTGAGTTGGGGAGTCCTCAGGAACAGTGCAATAGGTAAACGAAGTTTCCTAAATTTTTAAAAGCAAATTGACCCTAATTTATTCAATCCAGTGAGTGACATGGACGGACAAGATCATCTTATGCTTTACTCATGATAGTTCATGAATGGTGGCCCATTAGTGTGGGCAAAATAACTTTCAAGACCCTCATTGGACATAAAAAACGATCGAAAAATGATTGGTCATAAAAGTAACAAATGGTGAACAGATGAATTGGTGAAAAGGATTTATCCCCTTCCCTGTCTGACAGTGTCTTAGGGAAGAAGAACTAATCTAAGGATGTAGGTAGAATGATAAAGCATCCTGTGAATAAGCAACTCAAACCACTCCGACTGGTGATGTCTGTAGGTCAGCAGCACCGAAAAATAAACCTTCAGGGAAAGGTGATACATAGCACAAGAGGCTAAGGTCACAATGGATGTTAAGAAAGGGCATGTAATATATCAGTTAGGTAACTAGAATGGTCGTTTAGGACAGAGGACCCAAAACGACTAGAGGAAGCCAGAGAGTACTTGGGACTCAAAGCATTGTTGTCTTGATTATCAAACAAGTAGTCAATAAGGCTACCTTATACATGGTGATTATAGTAGATGCAAAACCCTAGCAAAAGAGCCAGGGCAGAAAACGAGTTATAGTTGGCACTTTTGATCGAAGTAGGTTCAACCTTCTCTCAATACACCATTGCCAATATGTGTGTCATTTTCTCTGAAAGATGTCCATCGCGAAACTAAGCAATAACTGAGACAGATACACGACAACCTTAGAAATTAAACCCTGATGCTGTGCAAAGGACTGTATAACCTCCATGCCTGAAGCTTGAGCTTTTGGATAGCCAGGTGTAACATGTCAGATCATGGCTACTTCCACAGAGATGGCCAAAGAGGAAGTGGAAGAGGTGGGCATTCCTGAAGGTAAAGTAGGAGCAGTAACATACAAATTGGAGGGAAGGCCTAGAGTTGTAATCCCGTCTCATTGTGATGGAATGCATCCACTGGCAAAGCCCGAGGGTGAGATAATGGAGACCAACTTGCCAGTCAATCATCAGTGTTTCAAAATGAGAGTCAATCCAAAAGAAAACCTCATGATGCAGCTTCTATTCTGTTGGGAGAATCTGTTTGGGTTGAGGCAACTGATCTGCTATCATAGTCATCACCTGTGGAACGTGGCAAACTAGTAGGATGACATGATAGGAATGGTCCCGAGAAAGGATATCCAAGGTTCAAAAACAAGGAGCCCTGGATAAAGTTCCCCCTTTGACAGGAAATGCAAAACACACAGTGAAATTGACAGAGTGAAGCCTGACAATTTTCTCCTTAATAAGCCCAGACCATGAGGCATCGCCTTTTGAAGAGCAAGAAGGTCTAAAACATTGTGTAGGGAAGCCTTGTCATCTGTGCAAAGACCCTGGCATTCCAAACTGTTGAGATATGCACCCATCCCTGAAGCAAGGCATTTGTGAAAAGATGGATCTCTGGACTAGATGGCACCAGAGAAACCCATATTTTAGTATTCTCCCAAACTAACAACCCCCTTGAGATCGAAGAATGATCCAGAATAAGGAAACTGGGAATGGAGAATCCAGTGAATCAATGTTTATGATCCTTTGGTCGCATAAAGACCAGTGAAAGGATCTCTTGTGCACTTGTCCCAAAGGCATGAGGGATTCCAATGATATACATAGTTCTGACAAGCATGGCAGATAAGGCATAGCTGTACTTTCATGTAACTGAGCAGTAAGCCTCCCTACATGAATCACAATGTCAATGGATGGATGGATAGAAAACCAAGTATTTGCTCCCATACCTTTCAGCCATCAAGTAAGAGGTGCAGGCTCAAAAGCAACTGGGGAAAGACTCAAAGCATTACACACTCAATGGACCAACTGAAGAAAAAGAGCCTGAGGCAACTTATCCCAAAGTGGCCTCCTGAGAAGCCAACAGAATAAAAGAGGGCACAAAAAACGAATCTAAATTCTCTCCAGAATGTCGAGGATTGCCCTCAATTGCAGCCACATGGCTCACAGGGGGAACACCACTAAACCAATTTTATGTCTTCATCTCACTACAATAAGATCATTGACAGTCTCAACCAAGATTAATCCCTCCCCATTTGTTGAGCAATGCTAGATATCAGAGGTGGGATAGGAGAGACCTGATTTGCCTCTGTGCTGGAAATAACAATCCAAGAATTCATTCTGTATACTGGCTTGTCAAACAAAAAATGTTTTTTTTTATTCTACAAAATGAACTAGGTAACACAAAGAATCCTCAAAGTATCTCCCAACAATCATAACACAAAGAAAATCAATAGTGAATGCTTTGTCGAGAAAAAGTGATAACATTATCTGAATGAGGTGCTTATACACAGTACCAGGATAGAAGGCACATTAAAATAGGTTGAAAGTGTTATGAGACAAATATAGCCAAGGGCAATTAAGTGGGGTATAAAAGACTGGAGCAAGTGAGAAAAATTCAGACCAATGCTTAGATGGGCAAAGGAAGAAACCCTGGTTGTTGAGTAATGGCTGTAGTTTGAGAGGAGGTATGTTTTGGAAAAATGAATTCTTATTACCTTAGAAGATAAGCCTACACTTATAACTTTAATAATAATTAAATTGCACTATTGTGTTCATCTAATTTTGGTTTGAGTCTATCAATTAACAGACTTTCTATTATTCTTAGCTCATGTTCACTCCATGGACATGATTTTAAAGTTTTATCTATTTATAGGTTCATTACAACTGTATAGCACGTTTCTTGATACTTGAATATGACAGAAATCTAAAATTTGCATGCTCTTGTACATGTGTTTTTAATGCTCTAGTAATAGAGCCAACATAACCTAAACTGCATTTACAACAACTATATTGATACACTACATTTTGTGTTGAAAAATGGATATTCGATCTTTATATCTAAAAGTTTTTTTTATTCTACACACTGACTTAAATACATACCTAACTTATACTTGCAGATAATTTTGATGAATTATTTTTCTTAACTGATTTCTGGTATATGGTAAAAAAAATAATTTTGTTTTTGTTTTTGCTGCTTCTCATGTGGATGGTGTAGGTAGAAACCTATTGTTTAAATAATCATAGATAACATGATTTATGATATTTGTTGGAAAAGCATTTTTTATTACACCTGTTTTTATATAAGTAGTCATATGTCTCACCAAATTTTTTTTTCATGATCTTTTTACAAACCTGATAAGCATTTTTAAGTTTGATTTTCTCATCATCTTTTATATCTGTCTTAGGTATTCGTCTAAAAGGAAAAAGAAAGAAAACTTTAAACAAATGTAAAATAACATAAAAATCCATAATTAAGTTTATATGGCTGCTCTTTAAGTTATTGAAGAATACATTTTTAGATGTTTTAGTTTTCTCTTATTCCATTGTTTACATTAAACTACCCAAAGAAAAGTCTTGCCTTACAGTGTTATGTGAAAACAGTCACATACCTTGCAATGTGATCTGCAAATCCTGTCAAAATAACCTGACGCAAGAGCTTTATCTGCAGAGGTGTTGGTGGTGTCATCTTTGGATCCACAAATAAATTAACATCAGGTATTACCAAGTTCACTATCAGGATAGCAAAATAAACAGTCAGTCTAAAAAAAATAGCTGTATGTAAGTGTGTTTAAAGCCCATATATGAGTGATATTTTAGTTTAAAAATATTGGTAATATATATATTAAAGTCACTATATTAGACAACTTATTTTTAATACAACTCTAAACTTCAAGATGAAATTATACTTTTGTTATTTTTCAATGCTACATTTTTTTGTTTAACTTAAAATATGATTATAGCAAAATTTGTTAAAAAGGAAGTTAAAATATATTAACATTAACAAAATTGTTTGGTCACATGGAAGTGATTTTGTTACATTTCACTTAGTCTGTTGTTCTCTCGTTGATATTGGTTATTGTGTAAAACGTTTTAATATTCTTTTTGTTACTGCCTATGCCTTCTATCACACTCAATGACCAGTAACTTTCTGTTCTAATCCCTTACTAAAAAGTACAATTATATAAATGAAAAAGTTTGTCCAACTACACTATATATCTTTCATGAAAAATTTAAACCTCCACCCCCTCTCCAAGTAAAGGACAAAGTTTGTGACTATAAAAATAAACATTAGACAAAAAAGCTTTTAATTGTTCAAACATCTGTATACTGATTAAAATTCTGTTTACTAAAAAGAAGGTTACTTTCTATAGTTTCCTTACCTTCACCTTGACATAGAAGTATATATTTTCTAATGTTTTACATATTTTATTAAGTTAAGGTTTTATAAGAACTATACCATTTCAACATAATGATCCTCATGTCCCACTCCAAGCTGATTTACATTCATAAAGTTAGAAACTAAGCTGAAAACAGTTTTTATTATACAAGGTGATCACCATGTTCTTTATATACTTTGCGAGCTTACAGCTATCTCGGCAGTACTTGACTTTTGACTCGACTGATGCTTATTAATAGAAAATAGTTTACAATAATCCTTAGTTTGACACGGGAACTTTGTTCCTTCAAATGTGAAACAGATATTGCAAACTGTAGGAAGAAAAAAATTTCAAATGGCAAAATTTTATAAAAGGAGTTCATAAACTATCTTACAACAATACTGACATAAAGTCATAATCCTTTTTTCAAGGATAGAATACCCTCATGCACATCCCAGCTATAGAAACTGTCCCTACCCCACTTTTGAAACCAAAGTTACACCACTATACTGACAAATACATTAGGTCTAAATCTTGTGATGTATCAAATATAAATAATTATAAAGCTCAATTTTAGTTTTTTCCTTATTTAGTAATCAGATAAAAAGTAAAGAGTACCTTTTTTTTGAAGAGTTGTTAAGATATACATGGATTAACAATTATTAAAGAAGAGAAAAAGCATTCTTAAGTGTTCAGGAAAATGCTGTAGTTGAGAAGCAGTCTGGATGCTCCAAGATTCAAAACAATTTAATTTTTTTTCTGTAATAACCAACTTTTGATAAACTTTCTAAAGTACTTCTCATCATGATGATTATTCATCAATACTTAAATTCCTCTACCAAATAACCATGATTTAAGGACTATTTCCTCACCTTCATTAGTCAGTTGTGTTCTCATCTTTCGTATTTCAATCATTGCCTTATAACGTAGGCCATGCTGCTCACAGAACCACGATGTGCAACCAACAAACTCAGCAGCACCAACAGCTTTCAGTAACACCATAATATCACCTAAAGCTAATGAATGACCCTGAGGGAATCCATAATAAATTAATTTATGAACATTGGTCTCACTTTTTTTGTTAACACAGTTATATCAATAAAGCAAACTCACCTTCTTCACCAAGTCATAACCATTCATCAAACACAAAACAACTTTGAAAAAAAAAGTAACTTATCTCTTCTTAAAAATACCTCATTGCCAAAATTTTTAATGCAAATGTTTTCCCAAGTTTAAAATGTTGCATTTCTTTCTTTCAAAGCATTTCTTATTTATATAGAGAAAAATACAAGTTGAAAGAAAAAAGAACAAAACATTTTTATTGAAAGATGCAATGGATTTTGAGTTTACAAGTTGGTTACCATAGCTAAATTGTCTTGCCATATTCACCCTTAGTAGCTTAAAAGATGATAAATTAGGTATGCTGCAACTGAAACACTATCTACACAGTATGTAATTTTACAAGTTTTTATCAGAAAAATGCTAGCCTCACAGAATAATGTGCCATCCTTAAAAATTTTAAATACAAAACCTTATGAAAGCAATGTTGTATGCAGATCTTAACATGCCAATACTCTGTCAACCAGCTAGAACAACCTCACAAATGTTTAAAACAAAAATGAAGAGAAATGTAATGTGTTATTTTTCTATGTTCTCTTAAAATTGCTTAAATATGAACAGTTAAGAATACTCAAGAGAAGTAAAAAATGGAAATATACAGCTAAGAAATGAACCACATCTAAGACTTGTCATTCTGCTGAGAGAACTGAGAAAGTATCACTGACTTTTAAGTAACATTATTAACCATTTTTGTATGTTCAGAGAGGAAACTGATCTTGTACAAGAGTGTCTACAAAGTTGATATTCAAATCAATCTTTAAACTCCTTTGAAATAAATGACACAGATTTAACAGGCTTGTTTTCACCACATATAAAGAAATTTGTTTTTAACCACAAGCTTTCAAGCTCATTCAAGCTTTCATTGTCAGGGGAGACTAGTGATAAGTTCTTGAGACAGCTTGAAAGCTTGTGGTCAAATAAATTACCTATTACGTGATGAAAAATAAGCCTGTTAAATCTGTGACATTTAGCTAAAACATTTAAAATAGTTATTTAATATCTTGTTTTTTATAGCACTAATATGAATTCAAAACATGAAACTTCAAGATATGTTTTATAAGTGTTAAGTATTTTATAGACAAAAATTTCTGATTTTACCTCACCAGCCCAAGTTCTCTTAATCTGGACCCACTGCTGATGTCTGTCTTTCAGCTTTTGATCCTGGAAAGTAGCAGTATATTTTAGAAAGGCTGAAACTCAGCATACCTAACAAACATACTTTTTCAATAACCATTTCTGAAACAATCAGTTCAGATAAAAAAGAAACTTGCAGTAAGTTGATAGTGCTTGTCATGAAACCAATGAAACTTACATTTTGATACTTGAAATAGACCTATAGAAGAAACCTTAAAAATAATACTTATGTTTCAGCTAATGCCATTATTAGAATTATTTTATCGAACACAACTGTTCATAATTTAGAAAGTATATCCATTAACATTGTTTCAGTTTTTACATTCATTACAATATTCTGTTTGATAAAAAATAGTTATTTTGTCTTACTTTTTATTTCCAAAATTTCAAATTATTTTACACTTAGAAATTTTGCTGCTGAATAAGTAAAGACATCTTTACATTCCTGACATTTTAAGATACTTGTTTGTTTTTTAATAAGTATCAGTAAGTTATTATTAGACTTAAAATAAGACCCAAAACTCAAGTGCTTTCGAATAGTTGACTATTCTTCTTTTATCAAAAGTAAGTTATTATTAATTTTGTAAAGTTACCATTTTCCTTACCTGAAAATGTATTTCTGATAGATACTCACCCAGCCAAAGGCTGTTCAACAAAGTTGAGTTGATCACTCTTTTTTTTTCTGTTCCATTCCACATTGTACTGATAGTTGAGTGAAGGTGTATTTAATATGGTGCCCTCCTATTGCAGCTGGTATTGGGTCCATGGAGACAGACAGTAGAGTTGAGGTGACTACACTGTATACATCAGTGATATATCACTCGCATACCTTGCTGCAGCTGTAGGCAAGGGGCCCGTAGTGACTGATGGTCAAGTTGAAGTTTATATAAGTATCCATACTGACAAGTTTCCACACAGTACCGTCCTGTAGCAGCTGGTATGGGGCCCATAGTATTTGATGGTAGAGGAGGTAAGTATGGATACTTATCACAAGTGCCCTTCTCTCACAGTTAGTTTTAACCCATCGATTCGATGGTATAGGAGGTAGGCACACATGGTATGGTCTGAACAAGCCCCAACATCATTACATATGTGGCTGTCTGACAACTTGTATGGGAATGCTTGGGTGGCCGTGTACTTATTCTGCCTCTTCTATGCAGGCAATGATTATACCCTTGATGAAGTAAGATGTGGTTTCCCATGAGTGTGCCTCTGCTATTGGGTGTCACACCCCACGGGCTTTCTTCAGATGCTTTCTGAAGGGAGCTCATCTAGGTAGTCTTTGCTTCAGTCCTTCCTCCATCTCAGCATGGGAATCTAGCTATTCTGTGTGAAAAGGTATTTGTCTTGGAAGTTAGCATTTTCTTTGCCTAAAAATGTACTACTGATGGATACCTCTGAACAAATTCCCACTTTCCTGGAGAACATTTCTTTATTGCTTCGTCAAATAATGAGGATTCATCAGCAAGAATGTAGAGATAGTTATTGTGAATGGAGGTATGTCACACTACTATTAGTGAAGGTACTGCTGCATAATTACATCATCGTGCAGTGGTGGAAATTCACATGAGATTAGTTGGGAGTTTTCACAAAACTAGTAGTTTACAAGTTTCTTTGGCAGATCACACAAATTCAAGAGGAAAGAAGCTACTGTAGCTAATTCTGTGTGTAGAGGACCTTCTTCAGTTTCTTCCACTCAATTCTCTTGAAGTTGAGTGCCTATTTCCATCTCCAGGTTTTGTTTTGGGAATGTCCTTACCTACTGAAGGACACTCTTGGTTTTCCTGGATTTTCAAAACCTTATTACTCGGTTATGTACAGTTCTTTCTTTCTCTCTCTCCAAAATCCTTTGATTCTTCCCATTCTTTATTACACAACCCTTCCCCTTGCAATTTCTTTGTTTTTCTCTCCCCCCCCCCTACATTGTTATACATGCCAGTTCCTTTCTAGCTCGATTTCATTCCTGCAACTTTATGCTCCATCCCCCCCTTGTCTTACTGATTCTTATGTTCTTGGATATGGTCACTCAAACTTCACATTCCTGTTTCCCTGTCTATTGCACAGTTTTCCTACTTCAAGTTTTTCTCTTTTCTATTCTCCTTAGGTAACTCTCTTCCCTTCACCTTAAGACAGATCCTTCCCTTTTAGCTGCATCACATGTTGGACAATGGATGTCATGTTTTCTACAGATAAAGAAACTCCCACCAAATTATTGGTATTTTGTTCAGAGTAGGGAATATCTACACTCACATCAGCAGAAGAAGAGTTCACATTAAACCCTGAATTCATATTGACTACGCTAACACTCAATCACGTGAAAATTGAAAAACTGCAAGTCTCAGCAACCCCAAAACACAACTATTCATGATAGTGCCAAGGAAAAGAATGAGGTTTCATAAGTGAGAATGAAAAGAGAGTCACTGCATATGGAGGTGTATCACACAACTATTGGTGGAGGGTTCTGCTACATGATTATAACTTCCAATACGGTACATTATCTCCGCTCACATAATTAGCTAGAATCCCACATTGAATAAGTGGAGGGACCATTGCGAGAGAAAGAAATAAGCATCCTTCAAAAGTGTCCTAAGGACACTCTCAAAAATGAGATAGTCAGATTTTAAGATCTGATGAAGAAGACTGCATCACATCTGAACCAGATATATTCTTCACCCATTGTAGAAAGATGTAATATATATAGGTGGAAAATAGAGGAGCCCATCCAACTGAGAAAGAACTATGGCTGGAAAGTGATCCAAACCATGCAATATTTATGAAACTCAATCCCAGAAATTATAAAAGTGGGTAAAATGAAAAGGATGTGCTCCTCGGTGTAGAGTAGCTAGGGCACAACGGACCGTACACGGCAAGTCAACTACATACAAAACCCGGTTACTGGGTACTGACATCCATGTGGGGTTAGGAATGAGGATCATACTACTGGCAAGTCGATTACAATCCAAAACCTAGGCTACTGGAAACTGACAACCATATGGGAGTAGGAAGGAGGATCATACTGGTGGCAAGTTAACTACAATCCAAGATCCAACCATCTGGTGGAGGTAGGACAGAAGATCATACCATCTGAACCTCAAGTTCAGGAGACCTGAGCAAATCTTGTACCCCCTGACACATGAATGGGGCACATGTGAATATAATAAATTGATAGATCAATCCGGGAACCCAACATCTGGTATCAAAAAGATGTCTACATAATGTAAACCATCTCCCTCAAAAGTGAAATTGACCAGAACTACCCCAAGCACATTAACACCCTTTGAGTAAGAAACATCTAAGGATATCCATAATAATCCACAAATACCTTCACTGTGACCCAGAACATTGATGGAGTATAAATGAGGGAGGAATATACTTGTAATACATGTGTGAGGACTTATGTTGATTGGTTCTAGTCTAAATCAAAAACCCGACCATTGGGAAGCAACATCTACATGAGTGTAGGATGAGAGATCACAATCAAAAGGATGAACTGCAATTTTGACATCTCACTCCCATTTGTTTTTATGTTTCATATTGGAGGATATCATGTCATCTACAGCAGCAGAACACCACTGCCCCACTCTCAACTGAATGGTTTTATAATCATTTTACATTTTGTTTCTATTTCATTAACCCATTAACAGTCCACCATCCCAGTGGCTTGGAATTGGAAAGTGGTAAGGACTCTCAAACTCTACTAGAAGAAAAGGGAGTTAAACGCAGTGGAGAGTCTGAAGGAATGACAACACCTAAGACAGTGCAATGGGTGACCACAAAACCCTATTTTTTAAAAGCAGACCATACAAGGCATGGCAGGGATGGGCACCTATACCCTTCTACTTTACCCATGTAGTCCATGGGTGGTACGGTCTGGAATGGGCAAACTTATGAAGCAATTCTATCACAAGGATAAACGTACAAGTGATCTTGTGGAACACCCTATCTCTGCAGTATGCATTGCGGGGTTATGGAATTATAATATGCAAGTCGACATGGCTTGACAGTGCAGATTTGAACAGTTAAAGAATACCTGGTCAAACACCACTTGCCACAGAGTAGGATCCAAACAATGAGTAATAATAATAAAAAGGGAAATAAGATCTCTGTAAATAAAGTATAATAAAAGATAACTTATGCAGTCAAAGTCTCACTGAAGTCTGGAGAATGGCTACATGCATAAGACAATAGCCCAAAAAGGAAGAAACTATGATCCTATGCAAATAGTGAGAGATGAACATATTAGGAGTAGATCACACGCCTGATTGAAGAATTTTCTCTAAATGGACAACAAAGACGAGACACCAGAGAAAAGGTAAGGTGTCAAATTTGATGAGAAGACACCTGGAGCAAAGGCTGGAAGGAAGTCAATAAAGAGGAGTGAGTCAATCGAATCAAAAGCTGAACCCAATTGGTGAGGTTAGAAGGAGAAAGATCAAGAACAGAGAATGGCTGCCAAGGAATAAAGAGGCAGGAACAGGCACTACAGAAGAAAGCTGTGCAGGCAATATAACAGTAAAGAACACACACAAGACATAGAAGTCTATCCAGATCAGGCCTAGGATAAAGGTGAAAAATGAAAGGAAGGGAAATCAGTGAAAAGGAGGAGTTACCCTCCCTAGCTGCCATAGTTTTAAGGAGGAAAGAACAATCCAGATAAAGGAGAATATATGTAGAATGATAAAGAGTAAGTGAAAGATCGATTTCAAATAAATCAGACCTATGATGCTCACAGGCTAAGAAGGAAATAAGTCTTAAGGGAAAGGTGATACAAGGAGCACATGGAAAGTGGTTCGAACAGAGGCAAAGTGAAGCAGTGAGAACCACATTAAGTCTGGAAGTGCATCCTGCCACGGTGGACAACGAATACGGATGGAAAGCATCAACAAGGAAAGTGTAGGAGAGGTAAATACCCTATGGTATCAGGAGAAAGAAATTGGAGGACAAGTTCCTATGATAAAACCCAAATAATCCATTGATCTGTGGCAAAAGATTGCTAAAAGGGAACAAATTCATACATTCGAGCTCCCACTATACTGGAACCCACTGGGTAGTCACCAATACTGTTGGCACAGTGTCCATCTACATTGAATAAAACGACATGATGAGAAATCCCTGAATAGAGGTACAGGTAAGGGCTGAGAAGGACTAGGAAGAAAAGCAGGAATAGGGGCTTGTAGTAGTTCTGACAGTGATAGTTAGACAAAATTGAATAGAGGGAGTTTCATGTGTAATGAGAGTATGTTGCACTCTTATTGGTGGAAGTTTCCTTCTCACACAGAATAACCTCTTTCCTTTGAACTTAGTACAATCTGACAAAAAGATTTGCAAGCCACCAGCCTTGTGATAACTCTCACCTAATTTCAGGTGAAACCACATAATTCCGAAACAATACGTTACTTCCACTCACAGAAATAGCTATTGTCGTTCAGTGCTGCCTCTATATGCATGCTACAAGCCATTTTTCTCCCCTCCACTGGGACTGACTAATTCCAATACATCTCTCATGCAAATCATCATGCAACTGAGTATTTGTTTGAGAAAAACTTTATTGCATTTTACTTATATTTGTTTGAAAATACTGTCTGGCTGATATTATACAGAAATAAGTTGATTTCACTTCTGAAAAACTTCACTTGTTTTTACTTAGTACAGGCTTAATACAGGTAAAATGTATATCTAAACTAGAAAAGATAAGACTTATGGTCTAGCAGCTTTATGTTCACCATTAAACAAATATTGTTTGTTGGCCAATTAATGCTTACTACATGGTTCTAAGAATACCAAAAATATCCCTACTTATAAGCAATAGATTAACTTGATATGAGCTTGTTCAATTTGTCCAAGTTTGTGGCCAAAATTGACCTTCAGAGCTTCCATACTATAACTTGTTTGTTTTATTTATCTTCATTAAATTTCACAAGATTTCAGTAAACATTGTCTTTTGTGGAAA